GCATTCCTATCACAGACCGAAGAAGTACTTTTCAGGCACACTTGGCTCCAGTAGTTTGTCCCAAACAGGTAAACTTACTGTGTCCAGTTCACTTTGATGTTGTTTTACCAAAGTAATTCAAGCAAATGGTTTTGCAATAATATCTTTGTTTATACTATTACGTTTAATTTTTATGCAAAATAAAAATTATTTGCTAATTTTCTACCTCCAAATTATTGGGAATCATGGAATATTTGTTTCTGTTTATCACTGCTTTCAAAATTGTATCCAGACTGTGATTAGGGCTTAACTCTCCAATGGATTTTCAAAGAAGAAAAACCCATTGTGGTGGTGTAGAAAATTATGATGCTTAATGTCAATAGCTTGTTGAAAAATTATTTGTCTTATCATGTGGGAGTTCTATAAACCTAGCCTGTTCTATTGTTGCCCAAGTAAGGGGACAGTGGACAGAGTGGTTGAGCCCAGTCTCCCAACCTGAATTCCTTTTCCTTTCTGCTTCCTGATTTTAGGTGGCCTGATATCCACCAAAGGATATTATATGGGAAAATCTTCAGTCAAAAATAGTATTCCTAGGTCTTTGTCTTTCTCAGTCTCTTTTCAGCTGAATCATTTTCTTCTTGCTGCTATAATCTAGCCTAAACTTTATTAATGTAATAGATAATTTCAGTACACCTATAAAGTTAAATTAACCAGAAAAGTCTTACTAGCTTAGCATAGGTTTTAAGCATTGGTCTCTTCCCTTTGGTCTCTCCAAATTCTTCTAAAGCCCTGACCTATAGGAATACAGTTTTTTGCACCAGGCTGCCTTCTCACTCTCTTTTAGTCTCTGAAAGAGGAAGTTCTTTCCTTCATTAATTTGTGGTCAAAATAACAGATTTTGGTGCAAGCTTCTGGGCTTTTCTCTCAGGAACCCTATTTTGCCCTTGGCCATTGCTCATAATCTTGTTGCCAGGTTCCTCCTTAGACATTCCATTCTGAATCTCTCCATACTGGATCCTTTTTCCATTTCTGATTATAGTCACTTAGACTTACAGGATCATAATTTGTGAGAGCTGAAATAAATCTAAGAGGTCAGTGTCTACTTTATTAATCAGGAATCTGGGAGTCTGAGAAGCAAAAGATTGCACAATTTCTGATGCAAATTGGTCTCTGTATCTCCAGCTTAGTCTTCCTTACCTCCAGTATTTCTTCTGTGCCCCTTGCCAACTACCTTTCTAAAAGATCTGACCACATGTCACTCCTCCCCCATATACCCAGTAATCTTTGCTGATTTCCATTGGCTACAAGGAAAAAATCTAAACACATTATACAAGGCCCTTTGTGATAAGACCCTACTTTAATCATTCTGATACATCTTCTATCATCTCATTCATACTCTGAGGTAGAGCTACATAAAACTGTTGGTCACTTCCTGAACCTTTCTCTTTTATGTCCCTGCTAAGGTTGACAGATAAAATACAGAATAGCTAGCTAAAATTGGAATTTCAGATAAACATTATTGCATAGGCCATACTTATAATTTAAAAATTTGTGGTTTATCTGAAGTTCCAATTTAACTAAGCGTCGTTTATTTCTGCTTACTAAATCTGGTACGTTTGTACATGCTGTTTCCTCTAAGTGGAATGGCTTCTTCTTGCCCCACCCCACTCTTCCATTTTGATGCAGAACTGTCACTTATCTTTCAAGACCTGGCTCTTGTTACGTCCTCTATGAACCTTATTTGACTCCCAGAGAGAGTTTTGGTTTTATAACATTTAGAACATACCATTATTCTGTACCTGTCACTTTGGTAAGTTTTCAGGGCTCATTTCTAGGAATTCTTATATTTTCGTTTAAATTTCTCTATACAGTATGGGGAAATTCTCTTATATACAAGTACCTGGACATGGTTACTGCTCAGATATTTGTTGATAACTGGTGGTCAAAAATACCATGTCTATCATTTTTGTACCAACTAGAGAACCAATTTTTGCCCCTAAAATGAGGAGAAAACTTTGGAAATGGCTTTTTCAGAATGTAGTTGAGTCTTTAAATAACTCTTGTTAATTTCACTACAATAGTATATCAATATGCTCTAAAGGTTTTTTTTAGCATTTATTTACAGAGCAAATAAAAAGTATACATTAGTTTATTTACATTACTGCTGTTTTTAAGGTGAAAATGGTTCTTGCCAAATTGTATGAGAATAAGAAAATTGCTAGTGCCACCCACAACATCTATGCATACCGGTAAGTGATCATCACAGTTTTAGGAATGTGCTTTGTAAAAAATGGGGGAAGGGACTTCCCTGGTGGTACAGTGGTTAAGACTCTGTGCTCCCAATGCAGGGGGCCTGGGTTCAATCCCTGCTCAGGGAACTAGATCCCACATGCATGCCTCAACTGGGAGTTTGCATGCCACAACGAGCCAGCGAGCCGCAACTAAGGAGCCTGCCTACCACAACTAAGACCCAGTGCAACCAAATAAATAAATATTTTTTTAAAAAATGGGGAAAACTGATGCATGATTTAAAAGAACAACAACTATTATGTGTTTTTTTCCCACTGTAAAAGTAATAATCATGTGTGGAATATTTGGAAATGGCAGAAAAAAAATCAGAGGAAAAGTTAACCATTTTCTGCCATTAAGTGTAACTGATATTGTGAAATATTTTCTTTTTTATTCTTTTCAATGCTTTATTCTAGTATCAAAATTTTTCCTTAATGTAACAAAAGCATTTTTCCATGTTGTTATAATTGCTTTATAAACATTATTTTAATGGCTGTATAATATTTGTTTGAGGCTCCATACCACAATTTATTTAACGATTTCCTTTTTGTTTTAGTTTTTCATTTTTTTCTAAGTATTATAAAGAATAGTCCCATGAACATCTTTGTGTACTTTTTGCATTATTTCCTCAGGATAGGTTCTGGTTGTTTCATATTGTTTTTTGAAATGAAACAGAAGTATAATTAAAAAGGAAAAAGGAATAGATTCCTAGAAGTAGAATTATCAAAACATATGAACATTTTTGAAACTCTTGATACATACTGCCAATTTTTTTCTAACGTTTTTCTTTTAAACCAGTTTATGCAGTGAATTAAGACTGCTTCTTTCACTACATGTCTTTTAGTTTTGTGTTCGAAGGTTTTATAGAAATCTTCTGATTTGTTAGTAAAGAGATGAAGGGTATATTTTTTAAATATGCAAATTAGTACAGACTTACAGAACATAGTTTAGGACTAAAATAAATCAGAATATAGACATAGGAATTTGGTGCAAATTTAAAATGTGATTCAGACTATTTGTAAAATCTAGGCTATCTAAAACTCAAAAATCTCAAAAATATTTATCACTTTGGATAGGTGAGTTTTTCATATTACTAAGTCACATCCCTTTAAGTGCCCAATCTTACCAAAAAAACTATTTATTATATAATTCCCTACTTATTAGAGTATCACTACACAGAACTTTGGTTTTTTCTTAGTGAGTTAGGGTCATCGGTATAAAAATGAGGGATTAGACTGTGCTTGGTCTCAGTGATTAGAATGTGCTGTAAAAGTATTGATAGGTACTATTCATTTGTCCTATGTGTTTGTTGAGGGCCTACTCTGTGTCATGTGCTTTACATAAGTTAAATCTAATTATTTCAGCAACTGTGCCACTGTAAAAAGGTTAACTTTTTCAAGATCACATAGTCATTAAGTGGTAGAGCTGAATTTGAGAATCTAATTTCATTTATCTCTATCTTATTCCTACGTGGCCACGTTGGCTGCACCTTCAACAGTTGCTGGACATGATAGTGATCTTAAGTTATCAAAAAGTTGAATAATGTGCCGGATACTCTATATCAGGCCCCAGATTTTTGTTTTTTTAAGTACTTGAGTATTTTTGCTTATTAATGGGTGATCAGCTGTCACTTCTTACAGATGTCAGCATGACTGCACGTAGCAGCCCCTCCAACTCACCCCCTTATATAATTGATGCTTGGGAATGAAGGAGCTTAGCTTGTCAGAATTGTGTGTCAGATAACAATAAAAAGGCATAAAGTGGAGGCTTGAAGGACTCCACTGGGAGTTAAAGAAAATAACCTTTATTTGGTACATGGACTTTGTGTTGTGTATTTTGAATGCTTAGGGTCCTTTTAAGGTTACTTCCTGGTTCTGGGGCTGTGTTCCTGCTTTGGAGTTATGGGGCACTCTTCAGGCTACTGGTACACACAGCTATCGGATGCTGCATCATTATCTTCCTGGCATGTGAGGAAAGGGTTAGTGAAAATGTCCATGGTATTTCCTTTTTTTTTAAGCCTAACAGTACTGATTTATATAGTCAGATTTCTTCATTTGTTCTATAAAGTCAACCCCAGAATCCTTTTTGCCTTAAATTTGCCATATAAAATTTTGTTTAATAGTACTAACTTTCTTTTCTTCAAATGAGGCCAACTCTAAATAATAGTAGGGCTTGGTCATAGTAGGTGGGCAGTAAATATATACTGAGTGAATGACTGAATAGATGGTTTGGTGGATGGAAAGATGAATGAATGAATAGGATTGCTATAATAAAATTAATATAATTGACTTAGGTGTATAGATAAGGTAGTATTTGGCTTTTTATCACCATAACTGAAAAGATATCTTTGCTATATTTGCCTAGTCCTAGATGGTACCATTTATAAGGGCCTAAAAAATGCACTAGATGGCATACCTTAACTGGCACTGTTTTCTTTTTATAACTCACACTTATTTGCCAAGCTTATTCATCTACAATGTAGCCCATGCTAACTTTCTAGATAATTTAAATGGGTAAAAATACCATGATTTATCTCTGATATTGATAACTATCCAGGGGAAAATTACAGAGAAAAATAAATCTTATAATTCTTAGAATGGGGAAGATAGATAAATGCTTGGCAGCTAGAATAAGATGTTAGGAAAGTACAAAATATTAACTTAATGTTGGTTTTATCACCTCCATCTTTTTTATATACTTTTTTTCTCTTTCACTGGAGTTTAGGCTCTTTGATGACAGGAGTACACCACTTATTTCTTTTATACCATTTCATAGTGCCTATTATGTGCCTATAATGCTTATATACAGTTTATTCTCAGTAAATGTTTTTTAGTGATTATTCTCTATAATCTCAGCTTCAAGATTAAATGAAGTGGAGGAAGTGTCAGATGTGTAAACTCACCTTCCCATAATTGTAGCATTTCTGATTTAAAGGAGGTACACTTGATTCCTAGCTTTCCAAAATAAAAAAAGTGAAGCATACTGGATAGGAAATCGTCAGTGAAAATATAGCTAATTTATAGTTCAAGAAAGATTTTTTTAAAACAAGTATGCTGATTCTGGAAGTAAATTGATGGCAACAAATATGAAGGAGTAACTTTTATTATTGAATACAATATTTCAAGGTTTTAAAGTGTAACACTGTCACGTGTATTTCTAGAATATATTGTGAGGATAAACAGACCTTCTTACAGGACTGTGAGGATGACGGGGAAACAGCAGCTGGAGGGCGTCTTCTCCACCTCATGGAGGTAAGTGTGAGTTAAGCCCTGTTAATCCTGTTCTGTGAACCATAAAATTTGTCAACAAAATTCATTCCTAAATTCCATTTAGGAATAAGTAAATCAGTTAGCCTATATAACATGAGATAATTTGGTTTTATTAGTAGTTAGTTTTTGAACATCGATAGAGAGATAATTTTAACCACTGGATGTGGGGCAGAAAGCAAAAGGTTAATAACGAGTGCTGTGCTTTCAAGCTCTTTCAGTCGTAGACAATAAAAGGTTATCTTCAGCTCTGGAAAAACTTATCCTTTTTGTTTCATGACAATTTCCTCTCCTCTATTTTCTCTGTTCTGTCTTTGCAGAACTCCTGTTAGTTGGATATTGGATTTCTGGGTAGATCCAGAATGTTTCTTTTTTTATTAAGTTGTCCATCTCATTGCCTTATTATGTTCTAAGACATTTTCTTGACCGTCTTCCAAAATTTCTATCAAATTAAAATTTTTTTTAGCAACCATGTATTTAATTTTCAAGAGTTCTTTCTTGTTCTCTTTTTTTCCCTTTTCATAGTGTGCTGTTCTGCTTTTATGGATACAATGTCTTCTAAAATTTTTCTGAGTATACTAATTAGAGTTTCTTTTTTTAGATGTTTTCTTCCTTAAATTTTTCCTGGTCCATTTTAGTTTGTTTATCTTGTCCTTTCTCTTTCATGCTGCTGGATTTTCTTCATCTGTCTGGTGATCATTGATTGTTCATTAATTTTAAGAATGGATTGTTTTTTTCCTAAGGTAGTTGCTATAGTTTCTTCTGCTATTGTATGTGGAGGTTTGTTTTCTAACCAGGCCCTTTCCTTGATAGGAACTCTGTGGGGGTCAGGCCTGTAGACTGGTGGGCTTCACGTTAAGGGCAGCATTTGACAAATGTCAAACTGAGGAAGACCTTACTGGTAGGCACTAGTGGTTACTCATGCAGCCCCAGTTCTCTCTAGCTGTTTTGTTCAGAAGCAGGTTTTGTGTTGCTTTTTGACCTAGGGGTAAAAAACTGCCTAAGCTAAGCTATTCTGGTTGAAGTCGCCTAGAACTGGAACCCCACTGCATGATCTCTCCTTCACTCTGCCTGGTGGTCCCCAAGTTTGCAATTCAAGGACACTGTGGAGCACAGTGTTTGTTTTCCAAATTCCCTTCTCATTCTAACATTCTGTCCCCTGAATTGTTACAAATCGCACTCTGCTTACTCATGGTTCTGCCATTAAAGTCAGGGAAATTTTATGTGCAATTTTATGTATGGGTTTTTTCATTTTCCTTTAAAACTCACATCTGTACCTGTCTATATTTGTATGTAATTATGCTTCTGAAAATAACAGATTTTGAATGTGAGAAATGTCATGGTGGTGGTATCACGCTGGTATGGAGGGATTTTGCTAGGACCAGATCGCTTCAAACATATCAACAACTGTGCCAGAAACATTCTAGTGGAGAAGAACTACACAAGTTCACCAGTAAGTGGTTACTGATATTATATCTAGAGAGTTTCTCACCACTGCCTGTGAAATTTAAAAAGAAAAAGGAAAACGAAAATTAAGAGTGAAGCAGAACGAGTGAGGTGCATTAGAAAAACCTTTGGACTAGGAAACTGGAAGTTTGGGTTTTAGTCAGAACAATGTGATTGACCAGTTGTGTGACCTTGAGAGGATCACTTCATCTCTTCAAACCTTAATTTTGTAGATTCATGGAGTTTTATAAAAACCTTAAAGACCAGTTAGTTTCCACTCCCTAAAATTGAGACCCATAGAAGTTATAGCTAATGCTACAGTGAACTGGATAGTCTTTAAACATCTATAAAATTCTAACATTCTCTGTTAGTGTCAAAGTGTATCCCCTTTCCCCTGGCATGCCTTTAGATGCCTTCTTCCTTTATACTTCGAGGTTTTTTGTCTCGTATTTCAGATATGTTCATATCTATTTTATTTAAACTTTGCTGCCTTACTTTGGAAAATGAACAATGGATTAAATGGTATTGAGAGGAACTCCCTGGCTGTCCAGTGGTTAGGACTTTGCACTTCCACTGCAGGAGGCATGGGTTCAGTCCCTGGTGAGGGAAGTAATGTCCCACAGGCCACACGGTGTGGCCAAAAAAATAATTTAAAAAATAAACTTATAAATAATATTGAAATTACTCAAACATTAATCTGTTAGATAACTGAGATAAATGAGTATTTTCTTTGATTATCCTTGATTGTTTCAGAAATATTCAAATAAACTATAAATGAAAGAGCCCTGTAAAACAGAAAGATGGTACATATGGAAGTAATTATACTTTCACTATTATACATATTCTATATGACTAGATTTAAAAGTCCTAAGCTAGTACCTTCATATAAATGTAGGAAGATACTACATTGATTTATGTCTTTTTCAGGAGGAATCATCTAAGACTTTGGGAAAGAACAAAAAAGTAAGAAAAGACAAGAAGAGGAGTGAACATTAATACCTGAAACTGTATGAAAGGTTAATTTGCCTATAATCATATACAAATTCCACAGTCATCAAGGAATATGTTGTGCAGAGAGAGAATCCTGGACTCTTCGAGTCAGCCAACTTATTGGGGACACCAATATTATCTTTTCTTCTTTGGCTATATCATCTGCCAAAAATAGAGAACTTGTGGTATTTTCATGAGTGTTTCAGGCTGATTCAGAAGGATTAATTTGAACTTAATCACCACTTCATATAATTTTAGGAAGGTAACAGTTGCCCAGGGCAGTACCTGAATTAACTGTGCATTTCATTACATGTCAAGTGCCTTTGTTAGGTGGGGAAGAAATGTCTCTAGAGGAATATAAATACCTGATTTCTTGTCATTGGGATTCTCGTTTTGTTAAATGAATATTACCTTTTACTGCTTTTTACTGCTCCGTATGGCTTATTGAAATAGGGGCTCATTGAAGATTGATCTTAGAGAGTTTCTTCTTGTGATTTTAGTTCATAAGTATGTCACCTTTCATTTTATAGTGCTCATGGAGTGATGGATTAAGTGAAAATCCAGGAGTATCCATCTGCAGTTATGTACTGAAGTGATAATTCATCTAACAGATTCGTTAGCATAAGTGTTATGCCTCAGTTTCTGTCGCAAATTGGTGATTGTGAAATTTCAAAAAGTGATTTTCTAGTCTCTACTTTTTTTGTTTAATTCTTGTACTGTTAAGCAATAAATATGGTGTGCCAGTAGTCTCCTCCCACCGCCGAAATGTGTTGGTGTAATATTCTGGTTTCTTTTAACAACCTGGAAGTACTTTCTTGTGATCTTCATTGAGAAATTAGAACTATGCCAGAAGCTGTGCTATGGTTAATGGAACATTTATGGAATGGGGTAGAGGTGGCAGAACACCACTGGTGTAAGATGAGAGTGTGTTGTGTAGTTCTGTAAATGTGATGCACATTTCCTTCAGCTATCTTTCTCAACTCCATGACTTTGTGGAGAGAAGGAGCAAATCTTTGATTGGAAAAACAGAGAAAATCCCTCTTTTTTTCCATCTTCCTTTCATCAGTGCTTTATAAAATTTCCTTCTTTCATCTGCAAGTTGTGCAGTTTACCTCTAGGCATCTAGACAATAAATTTATCCATGAGATATAAGTCATTAACTGTTCCCTTTTAGATAATGATCGCAAACAATTATTAAAAATTATTAATTGGTCACAGATTTACTTGAGATTCCCTTCCAAAGAGAGGGAACAGAAATAAGGAAGCAATTTGGGATGGTGCTGGAGCATGGAAAACATCAGAGAAGAGTGGACACAGATTTTTTTTCTATTCTCTGTTTTACCTTTAAGAGATCTAACATCCTAACTTGGTATTTTTAATAAGAATCTAGTAAACAGCTTTACACTAGGATGGATTCTGAGAAGTAAAATCTATATTTGTTGTGTGTTTAATTGTTGTAACCTATATTTATTTAAAACACTTACCTCAGAGTCTATGAAAAAATTAAGTATGTTTTATGTATTAACTGTTAAAATAATTAAAGAACTTAAAGACCATTAATTAACATTAAAATAATTTCACAATTTTGGCATGTCAAAACCTGTGAAAGAAGATATAAAACAGTAAGAATTGCTGCTACAGAAAAATGAATGTGAGTTAATTTTTCTGCAACACTAGATTTGAATTCCCTTTTAGCTGTTTTATCTAACATTTATTTAGGTCTTTATAGAAAATGTTTTTATCTCTGATCCCATTTTCCCTTATTAAAAAAAATATTTTTGCTTCTTTCTTTTATTAACCACATTTTCCAGACTAAAAAACCCTAATATCCTTTGCCCAAAGCCAGATAGTAAAAAGGAGAGACCCAAAAGTCTCCAATTCTGGAACGTGAGTTATTTTACACTCTTCATTATGGACCCCTAACTAGTTATAGTATCTTTCTGTCTATTTAAAATTTCTCTTGATTAGAAGGTTTTCAAATTCTCCAAATAATAATTTTCCATAGCCAGATCTATGCTGTGGCATATTTGATAGTATATTGTGTTAGTTAGAAATATTCTCCATATGCCAGGTTGGAAGAGCAAGTAGCATCTTGCTACTTGCTCTTACAAAATAGCAAGTAATGGGAATAGCAGTATGATTTGGGGGTATATATCATGAAACATTTGATATATACCTATTTGAAGAGACATTATATCAAACTAATCACAACCAAGAAAGAATAGCATGAAGCAGATATTGTTTGAAGGCAGGTAAAATTTATTGCAGAAAATTGTATGCACCTGTAATTCCACTGTCTAGAGATAACTATCATTAACATTTGGTATGTACGTCCTATTTTTTTCCTATGCATGATTTTGTATATATGGCTATTTTTCTTTCCATAAAAATGGTACTAAACTGTATATACTGTTTTCTATCCTGCATATTTCATATAGAAGTATATTGTTAACATTTTCCCATGTCAATAAATATTCTTCTATGGCTTAATTTCTTATGGCTACACTGTATTCTATATTCTAGGTATATCAAAATATACTATGTAGTATAGACTATACTTGTTTCCAGTATTTAGGTTTTTTCTAATTTTTCACTATTATAAGCAACTATGAAAAACGAAATCATTGTCTGCAGATTTTTGTATATATCTCTGATTACTTTCTTAGGAAAGATTCCAGAAATGGAATTCCTTGGTCAAATGTTTGTACATTCTAAGAGCTCGACTGGTTCAGCCAAATTGCCCTGTAGAAAAGTTTCATCAGTTACACCCCGATTAGCGTTGTATTAGAAATATGCTTAGAATATCGATCAAAGATGTGGAAAAATAGGCAGTCTGGTAGGTAAAACTACCGATGTCGTTTTCCTTTTTCTTTTTTTTTGCCACGCCACATGGCGTGTGGGATCATAGTTCCCTGACCAGGGATCAAACCCGTGCCCCCTGCAGTGGAAGCACAGAGTCCTAACCGCTGGACTGCCAGGGAATTCCCTTAATTGATCTTTTTTGTTTTGAAATAATTATAGACTCACAAGAAGTTGTAAAAATATTCAACTTTGCCTAGTAGTAACATCTTACATAACTAAAGTATATTTATCAAAACCAAAATATATATTCTTTGTTAGGTATGTGATTTGCAAATATCTTCTCCCAGTTTGTAGCTTGTCTTTTCATCCTCTTAACAGTATTTTTTTGCAGAGTGAAAGTATTTAACTTTGATGAGATGTAATTTACCTTTTTTTTTACTTTTCCACTTTTTTTGGATTATGTTTTTGGTGTCATGTCTAAGGATTCTGTCTAACCCTGGGTCATAAAGACTTTCTTCTCTTTTTAGAGTTTCATGTTTTTCATTTAGATCTAATATCTGTTTTTAGTTAATTTTTGTATAAGGTATGAGATTTAATTTGAAGTTCCTTTTTTTTTTGCCTTTGCTTTTGCCCAATTATGGAAGTGACTAATTTTTAAAATCAAACCTTTCATTGATGAGTTTTCACAAAATAAACACAGTTAAATAACCAGCACTTAGTTGGAAAAAAGGCCAATACCAGCCCTCCACAGTCCCCCCTTTGTTAGTCATTGCTGCTCTCCTCCCCGCCCAGTAACCACCTCCCTGATTTATCATCAGAGATTAATCTGGTCTTCTTTGACTTTTATGTAGAGGAATCACACAGTACGTACCCTTGTTCAGGCTCCTTTTGTTCCATCATTTTGTGAGATTCATCTGGGTTATTGCATATAGCAGTTCTTTCGTTCTTATTACTGCATAGTATTCCATTGAATGGACATGAATTTATCAGTTCTATTTATGGATATTTGGGTTTCCAGCCATTACAAATAATGCTGCTATGAACATTCTTGTACGTGGCTTTTGGGCCATATCTGCACACATTCCTAAGGTGTGGATAGCTAGAAATGGATTTGCCGAGTCACAGGATATATATATGTGGAGCTTTATTGCTTTATTACCAGTGGTTTGCTGGTAAATGTTTAACAGCTGGCTCTAGGGTGGGTGCTCATTTATAATGTTAGCCAGTTCCTGTGGTGTAAATACTCCAGCTGCCCAATTTCAAGCTACCAATGTGAAATCAGCTGATTCACAAAATTCCTGGAAATTTAACCATCACTTCTTGTGAGCTCCAGCACCCATCACTCATACTGCCAAGCAGTGTTCCAAAGTAGTTGCACCAATTTACACTCCTACCAGTAGTGAATGAGAGTTCTAGTTGCTGCTTGTCCACAGTTGGTAGTACCTGACTCTCATTTCACTCATGCTGCATGGTGGATAGGGGCATCACTTTGTGGTTTTAATTTCCATTTCTCTGATGACTAATGAAACTGAACACCTTTGGCTACTACATTTTATACCTGCGGTGGCTGAGTAATCTTACACTGTCACATTTCCCTCCCTTCCAGGAACAGAAATATGGGGCTTGATATCTAGTTTGGTTCAGGTACAGAGAAATCCAGTTATAGTTTTGCGTATCTGAGCATCTAGTCTATAAATTTCAACATGCCACCACCACCTCACTGGTATACTAAATCTGCGAATTTAAAAGGAAATAATCTTTTTTTGTTATTAGTTTCCTAATTTATAAAAATGTGGATTATGATTCCTCCCTGTCTGGTCTATTCTGAGGGTTAAGTGAGATGCTTTTTATGTGATACACATCCAATAAAATCATTAAATAATTATCTTTTCCTCCCTACTTAGGGGAGAACTGTCCTACAGCAATACCTCTTATTTAAGATAGACTATGTCTGAGGATTTTAACAGTACCTAGAATTTTATGTTGACGTTGAGGTTACCTAGGTTCCCCTAGGGAGGCAATTGAGCATCGCAGCTTAGAGCAGGGTCTCTGGAGACTGCCAGGTTCAAATCCTGTGTCTGCTTTTTGCTTGCCTTGCTAGCTTGGGCAAGTTATCTAATTTCTCTGTATTCAGTTATGAAAAAGTTATAAAGAGCTAAGCAGGCCATGGGCTGATATTGAAAGACTGTTTAGTTAGGGAGCTA